TAATTTTTCTATATAACCATTGCCATAAAGTTAATTCCAACTCGGGGCAGCCCACAGGACTGAGTGGAACTGCCCCTTAGTGTTTTCAAGACCATATAATTCTTCCGGAAGCCACATCTTTGTCCCTGAAACCTGCAGGTGGCTTCAGACTTTTCTGTTAAGAGTGTTGGACTATTTTAATACTAGAGCTCTTTTTCTATTTTAAATACATTTTATTTTGTACTGATTTGCTTACAGAGTTAGTATACATTGATTTTTACACGGGATCTTTCCCATTTCCTTTACCCACACCTCTCTCTACCCATCAAATTGTCCAACCCTTTGATTACCCCCCTGCACATCCTCATTCCTCTGCTCCTCCTTTCCTCCCCTAGGGTCCTCACACGCATTCTACAGTAGTGGTCTTATACAGTATTGTCCTTATGGGACTGAGTTAGTTCATGCAGCATAATGCTCTCCAGCCCATCCCAAGTGACGTACGTATGTGGTGACTGTCAGATTCATTGCAGAGCTCCTTTTATTTAAAAATATCTTGATTTGGTATGGTTTCTTAAATTCTTACTTTGACCATATGAATTTAAACAATTTGTTAAATATTTTATATATTAGTATATGTGCTGGTGATTTTTAATCATCAGGGGTTCTTAGTGAGGGATGTGTTTGTGTGTATGTGTCTGTCTGTTCATATGTCAGTGAACACCCTGTAGTGGAGAACTGTGGGAATTAGTAAAATCATTGTAGCTGGATAGTTTTGAGACTTAAGGAATAGTTAATATAATAGAGATGCCTGTCTTTGTAAATGTGTTAAGACAAGTATAGTACTATGTATGCATTTGTCCCTTAGCTGGTATGTTAATCATTAATGACATTAATTTAAAAAGTTAATGTGATAGAGTAGGTTATTTTGTTTAGGGCTTTTGTACATAGGGTCGCTATGAGTCGCAGGTGACTCCACAGCACACAACAATAACAACAACAACAACAACGTAATCTTAAGAATATTTATAATAATAATAATAATAATAACAATTCTTTTTTAATAGTAATTCTTTCTTAGAACATAGATAGTAATAAAGATTGTATCATAAAAATTGCTACTACATTTATGTTTATATAGCTAATTGAATAGACCAGTTGTTTTTAATGCAAGATGTAAGACAGCTGCTCTTTTAATTTGACTATTTAATTATTGTCTAGAATTAGAGGAGGCCTAGTGGTTTAGCGTATTAAGGGTTGGACTGCTAACCAGAAGTGCATTGGTTTAAATTTACCAATTGCTTTATGGGAGAGGGATGAAGCAATCTACTTGCCTCAGGATTTACAGCCTCCCAGGCTCCATGGTGAGTGGAACTGGAAGAAATTCAGCAGCTGTAGGTTTGGTTTGAGTTTTCAGTTTAGTTTTGTGCTTGGTTTGTTCACTTTTTTTTTTAATTGAAATAGTAATAAGCATATAATAGCACTTGTAGAATTCTTGATTTGAGAGGAGCTCTGTAAGTTGAATATTGTTAAAGGTTTCCATTTTTACATTTACTATTTTTCTTGGCTTTTTCTTTTAACATTTAGCTATAAATAGATTGTTTCAATAAGTTTTTCATAATTATTCATAGGGTTTGTACAATATTTTTGTACCATAATGAGCTGGATCATTTTCCATTTGCTAAAAGAAGAGGAAAGATTTTCCAGATGATAAATGTTTAGGGACCTTTCGGTGCTAGGTTTACATCTCAGCCCCTACTTTGTGTTGGCCATGACACATCTGCTTCCTCTCTCTCCTTGTGTAAAATCTGTCTACTCGGTCCACTTGTAGGTTAGATTAAGTGAGACGATTTAATAAATGTTACTCTTTCTCTCTCATAACTCTTTGAATATTTGAAAAAAGAGTAAATGTTGATAAGAAAAACAGCAAAGATTTTGTCAGCAATTTAAAGAAGAAATACAAATGACTAACATAAAGCATTGGTACTGGAAAAGAGTACTGAATATGCCATGGACTGCTAGGAGAACAAATAAGTTCTTCCTGGAGAGGGTGAAACCAGGCTGCTCCTTGGAAGCAAACATTCTGAGGCTTCATTTGTCATACTTTGGGCATGTTGTGAGGAGTGACTAGTCCTTGGAGAGGGACATCATGCTTGAGAGGGTGGAGGGACAGCACAGGAGAGGAAGATGCTTAATGAGATGGATTGATTCAGTGACTGGGGCAGTGGGGGTCAGTGCGTCAGAGACAAGTAAGATCAGCACAGGATAGAGCAGGGCTTAAGCCTGTTGTACATAGGGTCAGTATTAGTCACAAGTGACTTGGCATATAACAAGAGCAACAACAACATAAAAATTATTCAATCTTAACAGTGGCCATTGAAATACAACCAATAATAATAGTAATCAAATACCATTTTTACATTTTAACTAAAAAATTAAATACAAATGCCCAGGTAGTTGAGATGCAGGGGAATAGAGCCATCACACATGTAGTATACTCAGTGCTCACTTAACATGCTTAGATTCCAGAGATCAGTTTGTTATGTGTACACAAGCTTTATTCTTTTTTCAAAAAATTTTTATTAAGCTTTATTAATTTTAATGAACAGTTACAGAGATTTTGGATTTCCATTCATTCATTTTTGCACTATTTTCTCTACCCTCCCCCCAGTTCGTTCCTCTTCCCCCCCCCATTGAAAGTCTGTTTTAATTGTCCCATTGCCACAGTGCTTGTCAAAGCCAGTTCTGATTAATCTCTTTTGTCAGTGTGTCCTTTGCCATTCCCTGTCACTCCTCCCTGAGAGAGACTTCACCCTGATTCATAAGGAAAAGGGGACGGCGTATTCTCTTAGCCACTTCCTGCTGAAAAGGGACGTTGTAGGTTTCAGGGTGAAAATCTTCTCTCACTACTCTAAAGGGCCCCTTTGGCAATAGGAAACACATAGACTATTATGGAGATTGATTTTGGAATTTAGATGCACTGTTATCAGTTGTGCTTAGTCATACATGTTCATTTCCTTGAAGATGTATCACGGAACTGTTGCAGCCTAGAAGACACAAATTTAACTAACAAGTTAAAAGTACATGAGTCAAAAATTAAAAGCAATTATATTCCAAGTAGAGGCTCTAATAGTGGCACAAATCAAGTTACAGAGGGAAGGTAGTTCTTAAAATAAAAGGCTTATTGACTAGCACTTTGTCTATTACAGTATAAAGGTTAGGAACCACAAGATGTAGAGGCTCAACTATGTCAATTATTGTTCTTAAGTCCTGGGTAGATGGAATTTGGTACAAGCTTTATTCTGAATGACTGACGACATTCTCTTTGGGAGAGGAGACTTTACTTGGGAAGTCACCAGGCAGGACACTGGCCAGGCTTCAGGAAGATGTGCAAGTTAATTAATAGCCCAAGGCTTTAGCATTCTCGCTCTTCTTCCCTTAGCACTTCTTGTGACTTGGCTGAAAATTGACAAAACACATCAGTATTCTATTCTACAATTCATACACACTTTTGTTTAAAAATTTACAGAATAAATGAATTTTTCTGCACACATATCTCCCCACCTCCCCCATCCCTGAAACAGGACTTCACAAACTGAAAGCTGTAACTAGGCCCACCTCTTTTGTAAAATGATAGTATTGGTGCTCCAATAAAATCTTAGTAACTCATAGTTTATGTCTGATTCAAGCCATGGTCTTTTCAATCACATGCAATGCATCTGACAGCTGGAAAATGAATGAGGGATGAGCTGTAGTATTGGAGAAGAGCACTGAACATTCTGTGGACTGCCAAAAGAACAAACAGCTATGTCTTGGGGAAGGTGCAGCCAGAGTGCCTTTTGGAGGCAAGAATGATAAGGCTTCACCTCACATACGTGGGCATGTTGTTCCTTGGAGAAGGACATAATTGCTCAGAAAGGTCAGTAAAGGAGAGGAAAACCCTCAACCAGGTGGATTGACACCATAATTGCTGCAGTGGGCTCAGGGGTGTCAGGAGGTGTGAGGATGGCACAGTATAGAACAGGGTTCAAACCTTTTGTTCATAGGGTCGCTATGTGTCATACTCAACTCGACAGCACTTTACACTACTACCACCATAGTGTGTCATCTGTGACTGTTTCAGTGTGACATCAACACTGCAGTTGTGACTAAGACCATTCTGATGTGGAGGGCCGACAAACGTGCTGTGAAGATCCATAGAGGAAGTCTATTTTAGACTTAATGGTGATACAGTTTCCAAAGAAACCACTACTAACTCTTGCCGCGACTATTGTAATATGAAAGCCATGGACAGAATATTGTGCTACCTTCTCAAATAGTTGTTGTTACTATGTGCTGTCGAATTGCCTGCGACTCATAGCAACCCCGTGGACAACAGCCCTAAACCCTGCTTCATCCTGTGTCAACCTTAATGTCTCTGACACACCTACCGCCAGTAACCCAGTTACTGAATCAGTCCATTTCATCGAGGGTCTTCCTCTCTTGCACATTGACCAATTCTTTCAGGTACAGTGACACTTCTATTTTCTCTTATTCCTTTCATCCTCTCAGTTATTCCTATGTCAGTCATTATTTTTTAGTATATTTCCCCTAGAATTACTGTATAAATGACCCCAAACCCACCCCCCTACACCCCACTGTTGCATGGATTTTCACTCATAATGCTCCTTCATCAAGTTTCTGAATCTGAGACTGTAAATATTTGTAATTGTATTCTTTTATTTCCTTTTTAACTGTAGTTTCAATGAAAGTTACAAAACATTTTCATTTAACCATTTAAAAAAATTATCTAAAATGCAATTGCAGTTTTTCTGTTTCCTTCCTGTAACGCTGATTTCCACTAATCCTTCTATACCTCTCTGTCTGCCTTTCCTTTAGTGATACTGTTGTTGTTCATTCATTTATTTCCTATTATTTTTTCCTTTGTGAGCCTGTGACTCTTGAGAGCTTGTTTGGAGGTTCTAACAGGGGAGCGCAGCTGCTCGTATACCCTTGGCCGAAGGATGGTCTTCCTTCTATCGGGGATGGTCGTCCTCTTCAACCGAGTGCACAGCTTTGGGAGGGACACACATGGATCGGTGAGGGAGGAAGGGGACACCCGCCTAGCCAGCCAGATCAGTCGAATCAACCCTGGCGATCAATGGGGTGACAGATGTCGCAGCCAGATCACCCTCACATCCAAGCCTGTAGCTCTTGATGGGAAGATTTGCCCATTTTTCTCTCACAGAGCACCTGATGGGTTTGAACTGCCAACTTTTTGGTTCACAGCCTGGCATGTGATGCACTGTACCATGAGAGCCCCTTTATGTATGACCCAGCATATGGTGTATACCCAAAGGTTAAAGCTACAGTGCAGGTACTTGCACACTAGTATGGATTTCAACACTAGTTAATGGCTAAGAAGTGGGAACAACCTTTGTTTCCATCAGCAGGTGAAATGTGTCAACAAAATGTTGACTATACATATGATGAAGTGCTAGTGTAAAAGGAAATGAAGTTCTTTTTTTTTTTAAGCTAAAATAAAAGAATTTTAAAAGATGAATAAAGCAAAAAATAAAGTAACAAGAGTAAAGATAAATAATTAGACACTGCAGTCTAATTAGACTGGGTGAATTGATAGAAGGGACCATGGAGGGCCAGGGGTGGGGGGCGCCTGGTTGCGTGCTGATCTTCGGTGAGGAGATCAGTCCCCAGAGGTCTTGGTGTCCACTAAGGCCATCCTGCGTTCCAGAGTCGCTCGAACGTGTGCCTTTTCCAGATGAGTGGATGCCTTCTCTCGTCCTCACATGCTCACGCCCTCACCCCTTGGTGGGGCCGGCTGGCACCTGCCTCTGGTGCTTCCTCGCCAACCCCATTATCCCACAAGCATGTGATAACCGTCCTCCACTCCCTTGTCGTGGGGATCATGCGGTGTCACCTCCATGGCCGTCATCTCACAGCGATGCACCAGGCGCCTCTGGCTTCAGAATCAGATGGCAGTTGTGGCCAGTGGAGCGCGTGAAGGCTGCTCCGAGGCTCGTGGGCTCAGGCTAGAGGGTCCCGTGCTGGGGTTCGTGTCGCTCCCGCGCCCGCTGGAAATGAAGTTCTGATCATTTATTCCTTGGGATGAGCAAGCCATGAGAGCGTTATTCTGAATAACAATCAAATTTGAAGGAAATAACACTCAGATGTGAAGGACAAATACTGTATGATCTCACATTTATAAAATACATAGACGAGGGAATGATTAGATGGAAAAGATTTTTAGTGATTACTAAGAGGAGAAGAAGGTGAAGCGTTACTCCTTAGAGGATGCTGAGTTTCTCTTAGGAGTGATGAAAATCATTGAGAAATGGCTAAGTAATGATGGTTGGACAATATGGTAAATGTGATTCATGTCAGTGAATTAATTGTGTTCTTAAAAATTACTATAATGGCAGGTTTTTGTTGTATACACACACAATAGTATTAAAATATTTTCTAGATAAAAACTAGGTATTATACTGTAGACTAGACCTTCTAAGTTTGATCTCAGTTTGTCTCTTATGAACTTTATGGTTTGGGTCTTTACTCCCAGATCTCTGATTCACCTTGTTGATTTTTGTATATGGTGTGAGATGTGGGTCCTGTTTCAGCTTTCAGTAGGCAGCAGTCCAGTTTTGCCATACCATGTGTTGAAGAGGTCTTTTGTATCTCTAGTTAGGTTCACTCTCAAGTAGCTCAATTTGTGGTTGGCTATTGTAAATGGTATTGCTTTCTTGATTTTCTTCTCTGAGTTGTCTTTGTTCCTGTAGAGGGATTCCCACTGATTTTTGGATATTGAGCTTCAAATGGCCTACTAACTCTTCACAGTTTTTTTGTTGTTGTTGAGTCTTTGGTGTTTCTTTGTACGCTATTATTATTCTCTAGATATAGTGATGGTTTAGCCCTCTCTTTGCTGATCTGGATGTCTTTTATTTCCTCTCTTGTCATATTTCCCTAGCAAGCACTTCCAGTGCAGTATTGAATAGAAGTGGTGACAGTGGCGGTGTTTGTCTGGTCGCTAGTTTATGGAATAAAGGGACTGCCATATACAGCCAGAAATGCACAATCTGAAGGGATAACATTGATGAATTGGACCTTCTGAATATTAAATCCCTGTGCACATGAAGAACGTTTTCTAACAGGGTGAAAAGAAAACCTACAGACTGGGAGCAAACATTTGGTAATATCATCTCAAACAAGAGTCTCATAACCAACATTTACAGAGTACTCCTGGCCCTCCACAAGAAAAAGACTGATAACCCAATTACAAAATGGGCAAAAGACACGGAAAGAATTTTCACAGAGAATGGCCAACAGACACATGAAGAAATGCTCAGAAATCATTGGCAGTAAGAGAGATACAAAGGGAGGGGTTGGTAAAAGAAAGAGGAAAGATCCAATGTAAAAAACTGTGTATATGAACTTTATGAACTTCGTATATAAACCAGTATAAACACTTTTAAATTGACAAGGGTGCTTAGAAACACTTTTTTTGCTGTCATTTGCTGCAACGTGTTAAAAAAGAAAGAAACCACCAAAAAAACCCACAATGAGATACCATCTCACTCCAGTAACAATGGCAAAGTTCAACAGGACAGCAAGTAATAAATGTTGGAGACGATGTGGAGAGATAGGAACTCTTACTCATTGTTGGTGGGATTGTAAAATGGTGCACCCATTCTGGAAGGCAGTTTGACACTCCTCAGAAAGTTGAACATAGAAATTCCATATGACCCAGCTATTTTACTGCTTGGAATTTGCCCTGAGAAAATGAGAACTGAGGCACAAACAGATACTTGTACACCAGTGTTCATAGCAGCATTGTTCACCATCGCAAGAACATGAAAACAGCCCAGATGTCCAACCATAATCGAATGGATTGAGAAATTATGGTACATTCACACAGTGAAATTCTGTGCAGCACGCAGGAGCAATGATTTTGTAAATTTTGTGTTAGTTCATTGAGTGAACTAACTCAGTTCCATAAGGACAAATACTGTATAAAAGCATTATTGTGGAATGTGTATGAGGATCCAAGAGAGGGGAGGGGCAGAGAGGTGGGGGGGGCGGGTTAATCATAGGGTCGCAGTTTGATGGGTGAAGGTGGGGGTGGTGAAGGAAATGGGAAGGATCTAGGATGAAAAACTTTGTCAATATATTCATATAAGAGAAACCAAAAACTAGGTATTAGACTATAGACCAACTCTTAACTGGTTACTCAATATGGTAATATAAATCTACTTACTGAGAGTCCTTTTGTTCTGGTGCTTTAGAGGAATGCTCTAGTTAAGTATTCACTTTAATAATTAGCGTCACAAAACAGTTTGTGGCTTATTTGGATTCCTTATACATACTAGATTTGAGTATCAACCATGTCCTGTATCCTGTATGAAATAGAAACTGTTCAGGGAAAAAATACTCTGTTTTCAAAATTGACACCCCCCCCACCCCCACCCCCAGAGCATTTCTGCAAGAAGATTTAATCCTAGGTTTGCTTATATAACGTTGCTCTTCAGTATTCAGTAAAATACCTTCTGTTTCTCTGTTATGGCCACAGGGTGGCATGGTTCTCTTCTGGACTTCACTGTTGCTGAAATGGAAAGCAAAAGCATGCTATAAGTAATGAAGGTTCTTTCTTCTATGTAATTCTAAAAAATGGGTTTGGTAGTATTTCTTAATAATACTACAGAATGCCTTTAATTTTTTAAAAAATTTATGGTTATGACACAAATTATTTAATGGTAATTTAGACTGTATTTTTATTTCCCAGATTGTATTTGATTTAACCACTTGCCTTAATTAATAAAACCACCATGTGCATAACCTTGCTAGAGCAGTTATTTGTATCCAAAGGAAAGAAATGTCTTAACTTCAAAATAGCAGCCAAATAACTCATGGGCAAAGTTATTGATGAATTTTATTTGTTTGTTTCATTATAAGGGCTTCAGGGGAGTGGAGGGAGCTCTAGTGGAAGCTAGGGGGTGCACTGCCAACCTAAGCTCCAGTGATTCAGTCCACACCTGGCTGCTCAGAAGAAGGAAGGCAGTCTTCTCCTGTGTGGGTTCCAGCCATGGAGACCCAGTGAGGGATCAGCTCTGAGTCTGTTCTGACTCCATGGTTTTGAGGAACAGTAGTAATAGTAGTAATGCCTGGCCCGCAGATGATCAGAAAGATGCTTCTGAATAGATGAAAGACATTAATATAGACTGGGAATGGAATAGGGTCAAAGAGTTTAAATATTAGCTGCAAGGAAGGAAAACATCATATTCTATTTATATGGTCAAGGAAATAGACTCGGGACTTGAGGTTTTAAGTAATTTTATTAGGTGGGATTTAAACTCAGAGTTGTCCGAATCCCAACTCACTCTCTTCACCTCACCATTTCTAAGCAGGCCTGTGGGAGAATGAGTATTCAGAGTCACTGCAGCTGGAATACAAGGATTGAGGAACATTCTAAGTATGAGCCTGTAACTATTACATACAGCACTTCTATTCCTTGCCTTAGTTTTGAACACCCTGGATACCTGCTTTTTAATCCCTTCACTAAGCAAACATAAAAACTAGTCAGTTTTATGCTTATATATAAGTTTAGTAGACAGCTATCCCTTTTCCATCTCCCTTCTGTAGTCTCAATGCCTGGAATACTTGCTAGCATAGGGTATGCTCAGTAAGTGTATAAGCCTTCTAGAATGTGAGCACTTGTTAGATAGTGGATGCATTTGATTTCCCCCTAAATTTGATGTCTCATAAAAACATGCAAGAGGAACTCTAGTAATGCAAACTTTCCACATTTTCTTTTCTTCTCGTAGGGGGACTGTGTTGTTACGATACTGCTTGCTGAAGAGGACAAAGTTGAAGATGATGTAGTTTTTTACTTGATATTTTCGGGTTCTTCCCTCCATCATTGTACAAGTACCCGGAAAATCAGTCCTGATACGTTGGAGACCATTACACCTGGTAAGTATTTGAATGAAATCTTTATGAGAATAATCATGATCTTCTTACATTAAAAATTGTTTATAGTTGATGAACAGTTTTGTTCCGTGCTTATTAGTACAGAATGGTAGGAATAATAAATCAGAGCAATGCACTATTATCAGATCTTTATTTTAAATATGTACACAGATAATAGATTTTGCTTCTTCTTTATTTGACAGAATCAGGGCCTAATAGAGATAAAACGATGGATGTCCTAAATGGAAAGATAAAATCAATGATTAAAAATATTTTAAGCTAAAATATCTGGAGAAACAAAAATACTAATTTATTGGAATGTGTTCTCCTTTGGGGGAAAACCAAAATATAATGAAAGATAAAAATTTATACATAGTCACAATGGTAATACCACAGCTTTGATTTTTCATTTTCTGTAAGTTAAAGCAAAAGATCAAACACAATTAGTAACATTGAAGGAAACCTAGAGTAGACTGAGAATCCCGGAATACTTACTTGTGCTCATGTGAAACCTGTACCTAGACGCAGGATCAGAAGTTGTCTGAACAGAACACAAGCCCACTATATGGTTTAAAATCAGGGAAGGTGGTCATCAGGGTTGTATCCCTTCTTCATACCTATTCAGTCTGTATGCTGAACAAGTCATTCACAAAGCTATTGGATTTATATGACAATGTCACTGAAGGAAAACACATTAACAGCCTGTTAGGCAGGTGACACAACCTTGCTTGTGGAGGACTTGAAGGGGGACTTTAGACACTTGCTGTAAGAGATCAAAGACTACAGCTTTCAATATGGATTACATCTTGACTTAAAGAAAACAGAAGTCCTCATCACTGATAGGCACTATCGTGATAGATGGAGAAAAGGTTGACATTGTCAGCAGTTTCATTTATTTGGCTACACAGTCAACACCCATGAGAGTAGCAGTTAAGAAATCAAAAGATGTGTTGCAGTGGGAAAATCTGTCAAAGACCTCTGCAGTGTGCTGAAGAGCACTGATGTTTAAGACGGCAGTGTACCTTGTCCAAGCCATGGCATTTTCAGTTTCTTCCTATGCATTTGAAAAATGCTTAGTAGACAAGGGTGTCAGAAGAACTGATGTTTTTCAGTAGTAATACTGGAGAAGAGAACCGAATATCTCATGGACTGACAACCGCCAAGTCTATCTTGGAGGAAGGGAAGCCAGAGTACCCCTTAAAGGCCAGAATGGTGAAACTTTGTGTCATATACTTTGGGAATGTTGTCAGGAAGGATCGGCCTGTATAAAAAGACATCATACTGGGAAAATTGGCAAGTCAAGAGAAAGAGTCAGTCCTCAGCACGCTGAATTGACACAGTGTGTTTGTAAACATGGACTTGAGTATATCAGACGTTGTGAGGCTGGGGCAGGACAGGGCAAGATTTGGATCTGTTGTTCATAAGCCATAGTCGACTCGATGGCACTACCTACGACAATCAGGAAAGACTTAGAAAAGCCGCCATCAAAGCAGAACTACCCTAAATTGTGATTCTTGGTTAGTTGAGTGAGTAATCTTGGTTGCGCTCATAAATTTAAAGGAGTAAGTAGAAAATACTTGAAAAAATGTTTACTAGTTCATAAAGTTGTTACCACTTCTAGTGGAAACTTCTGGTAAAGGACTCACTATTTCTTGGCCTGAACCAATATCAAAAAGTATTGGTTTGAGTTTGGGAATGAGCATCTTTTCTTAACTGTCCCTGCTTGCAAGTTGCCAGTTATTCAGTTTTCATTAGAATATAAAAGGGGAGACCCCTTAAAAACTTCTGACAACTTAACTCTTTCAGAGAATAAAATGCATCTAAATCTTAATAGAATGTTTTAGCCATTATTTTTATATTACAAGAGTTCTGCTTTATGGATTTAGATGACATAAAAGTTATTCTTTATGAAGCATTTTTAGTGCATTGTCATGCACATATTGAGTCAATTTGCAGAGTTGAGTTTTGTTGTTGTTACGCTATTTCCTATAAATTAACTCGATATCTGATACCTACCATATCCTCTTTGGACATCCACTTTGGACATGTTGCTAGGAGAGGCTCTTCCTTGGAAAGGGACGTCATGCTTGGAAAGGTGGAGAGAGAGGAAGACTGTCAATGAGGTGGAATGATACAGTGACTGCAAAGATGGACTCAGGTGTGTCAGCGATGAGGATAACACAGGATAGGACTGGGTTTAGGTCTGTTGTTCACAGGGTCGCAATGAGTTGTACTCAACTTGATGGCACCTAAGAGCCACACCATATTCTAAAAATCACAGCAAGCTCAATGATGAGGGTGAAGACTATTTTGAAATATTTAAGATCTAAAGATTCTCTATAGGACTAGAAATATTACTCCCCAACATTTTGATAGGAAATGTGACAGAGAATTCAGGATAGATAGTGATTTCTTCTCTGACAGTGTTCAGTGCCATTCTTTGCAATGTGAAGCTGCAGTCATCTTGTGTCTTGTGATTATCTTGTCAGAACCAGTTGTCTGAAACTTGAGGTTGAGGCTCACAGATGCCATCAAGTATCACCATTGCTAAGCGTCTATTAGGTGTCAGTGCTCACCAGAAGCCATTCAGGGAGGTGGAGTCAGTCACTGACTATGCTCTTACTAGGGTAAGAGTAGAAGTCATTTTCAAAACGCATGGTTCAAAATTGGGAAGGGCGTACGCCAGGGATGCATCCTATCTCCATACCTTTTCAACCTATATGCAGAACAGATTATCCGGGAGGCTG